CAAACCCTCCATTTCTCCTCTGCATCATTCCTTTAACTGCTCAGACCAAAACCCATTTCTATTCTGCAACAAACAAGTAAAAATGACCGCAGGAGAAAACCCTTTTGTCTCTGACACCTCTTCTCTACAAAACCAGCTTAAAGGTTCTTCTTTTCCTCTTTGGTTTCTGTTCATCCGTCCTTCTCAGGAATTGCTTAATGTTGAGGCTGTGCTGCTTTATTTTTTTTAATTTCTCTGTGCAGAAAAAGAGAAAGAGCTTTTGGCTGCCAAAGCTGAAATTGAGGCTTTGAGAACAAATGAAGAGCTCAAAGACAGAGCCTTTGGGGAGGTAACATGATCATACCCATCTGTATAACGAAATGATCCTCCAAAAGCTTTAATAATCTGTTCCAGTACTCAATCTTACCTACAACTTTTCTTGTTCAGTATATGTTTTCTATATTAATAATCCGTTTGCTCAACCGCAATTCTTGGAGCTTCTTGAGCTCTGCTGATGCTACTTGGTTGTGTTTCAGCTTAGAGAAAACGTGAGGAAGTTGGAGGAGAGACTTGGAGCCACTAACAATCTTGTTGAACAAAAGGTGCGTTTTTGCTCATAGTGTCATCTTTTGTGTCAAAACATAAGATATGGATTCAAAATGATTATGCCGAATAAGTTAAAAGTGAGACATGATTGTGGAAGAACAGGAGGTGGAGATGAAGAAGCTGGAAGAAGAGAAGGAATATGCACTGGCGGGACAGGACGCTGCAGAGGAAGCACTGAGGAGGGTTTACACTCACAATCAGGATGATGATGATGACTCGCTACCCCTCGAATCCATCATAGCTCCTCTTGAAGCTGAGATCAAGTTTCACAAGCATCAGGTCTTGTTTTCAAACTTGTTTCTTCTCGTGTGTTTGTTTACAAGCATCCGGATCCTGACTCTAGCTTCTTGTGTGTGTGTGTTTACAGATTTCTGCGTTGCAAGAGGACAATAAAGCGTTGGAACGGCTGACAAAATCAAAAGAATCGGCGCTTCTTGAAGCAGAGGGAATCTTGAGAAGTGCCCTTGAACGTGCTTTGATCGTTGAGGAGGTCCAGAACCACAACTTTGAACTTCGAAGACAGATTGAGATCTGCCAGGTAACTCTCCTCATAAATATAATATATCACATTGATCAAAGAAATAAAGCCTGTTGCTAAAGGCGATAAAAATGGCAGGAAGAGTACAAGTTTCTTGAGAAAATAAACCGCCACAAAGCGTTGGAGATCGAGAAGCTCTCTCAAACCATTGGAGAACTGGAGGAAGCAATCTTGGCAGGAGGAACAGCTGCCAATGCAGTTCGAGACTATCGCCGCCAAATCTCCCAGCTCAATGCAAGTGTCCTGTTAACGTGTTGTATTACATTCACACACATGTTGCTTTTTTGATGATTTTCTTGGAATGAACAGGAAGAGAAGAGAACCTTGGAGAGGGAGCTGGCAAGAGTCAAAGTGTCAGCAAGTAGAGTGGCTCTTGCCGTTGCCAACGAATGGAAAGATGAGAACGATAGAGTAATGCCCGTAAAGCAATGGCTTGAAGAGAGAAGGCTTCTCCATGTACTGCTTTTCACTAACACAACCAAAAAAATAATGCAGTGACATTGAAAGGCTTATAATTATATGGGAAACATGAGTGTTGTGTATGTATGTATGCAGGGAGAAATGCAGAAATTGAAAGATAAACTTGCGGTTTCCGAGAGAACAGCTAAGGCGGAATCCCAGCTCAAGGTGATTGCTTGCTTATTGTAACATTCTGTTGGAAGAAAGTGTAATTTCTAATGCTTCCAAGTAAACAATTCAGGAGAGGTTGAAGCTGAGGCTGAAAACCATAGAAGATGGCTTGAAGGGCCAAAACAATACAAAGACTGAAAAGTCTGGCAAGATTTTAGGATTCTTGACCAGTGGTGGTGGTGGATCCAAGAAAAGGTCTATTTCTCAGCCACGAGGCAGAATCTATGCTCTGAATCAGTCAATCAACAGAGTTGAAGAAAGTGATGGAAAAGAGAACTCAGAGATTACAGCAAACGGATTAATTGAAGAAGATGGCAAAAGGAAAGCTGAAGAAGATGGAAATGTGGATTCTGAAGATACGGTTTCAGGGTTTTTGTATGACAGGCTTCAGAAGGAAGTAATTGCTCTAAGGAAGATTTGTGATAGTAAAGACTCTACTATAATTGCCAAAAATGAAGAAATCAAGGTAACCGCAC